GATTTTGATAGAAATAGATTAAATATGTGGATTTGAAATTTTGGAACCTATAAAATATGTGGTTAAAATTAATTGTTGATTTTAACTTAGATTAAAATCTAAATCTTAATCAATGCCAAACAGGGGCTTAATATAATTATAAAGACAACTGTGCCCCAAATTTTGAAGATAAAATTAACAAAATGTCAAATTTCAACCAACAATATAAATTACGAGTAAAGTTTGGTAAAGAGGTATGCTCATTTGTATGATTATTTTCTCACCGCAACTATTTCAAATAAAATTGAATATACATTTGAGTGATTTATATACAAAATTGGAAAATGTGATTGCAAAAGATAGTGTAACAAAATAATGAAAATGGTGATCAAATACAAACAAGTTTCTAATTTTATATTAATTTATAAGAAATTAACTTAAAATAAGAAGTATATGCATGAACAATGACAGATAATTATTAAATTCAAAGTACTTTCAACAAATATCTAAATATATTATTATCATAAGATTAAAACAAAACAAAATAATAACAACCTATGTACTCTATAGCATATGTTTTGAAAATAAGAGAGAAAGAAAGAAACCTGTAAAGTTGTAACAATGGTAGCAAGATCAAACAAAAATGCATTGAATCTTCAAATTTTAATTCAAAGGGAGATAATTTATATTTTGTTGGGTTGGAAAAAATAATGGTAGGTGATTGTCGGAAATGGAATTTGAAAAGACAAAGAGACCTTCTTTTTGGTTAAAAAAAAAAGAAAAAAAGAAATGAATATTTAGAAAATAAAGTGTCAACTTAATTATAAATAGGGAAAGTAGTATTTGTGATAAATAAATATAAGTGATAAGTTTGTTGCCATATATATTTTAAAGATTTTTGTATTTTCAATTTTTATTAGTTTCTTATGTTTGCATACTATAATTCTATTTTCAGAATTTTATAAATATAATTTTCATTTTTCTTCAACCAACTAGTTAACTTTACATAATTTGGAGCCCTCACCAAAATGGGATCTTAGACGATTGCCTACTCCATCTATACTCAGGGGCGATACTATTTGACAAGGAGCTCGAGTAGAGACATGTTCAGTTGCTAAATTGGTGGGAATATGTAATATGCCGGAGCCAGCGATTTAGGAGAAACTTTCACCGGAGGAGCAGAACCCTGAGAGTAGTAAGGCTTGCGACGGGCCACAAAGGCAATGCGGAATAAGGAGAGATGGTCTTATGATGTGAGTGAAGAAGATGCTCAAATATAGCAACTCAGTTAGAAAATCCGTAAAAGACATTGGATGGTCTCAAGTGCTGAGAGTGATAGAGTTCTGAAATGGGAGATAGGGGACCTTTAATCTACTCAGAAATGTGTAGACCAGATTATCATCATCAAAAGGTTTACCAGCAAAAGGTCGTTGATCAACAAGACACTTGGCTTGAGATAGATATATAGAACAGGTTTTATTATCTTGTCCGAAGCTGCGAAGTTGCCGTTGAAGAAGTTAACTAACACGAGATACATGGAACAGAATTTATCATATTTTCAAATCACGAAACTTTATCTTTGTTGCTGTTTGTTGAAGAAGAATCCTGCCGAAAATAGGAACTGAGTTGTAAGCGTAGCGGAAATCCCTCGATAAATCTTAATTCCGGGCTCATAAAACAACCAAACGAACACCGATTTACCTCTGCTTGACTCAAGACTTTCGCCTTCACTTTGGACTACCTAAACTCTCTCAAACCCCACAAAGGAGAAGAGTGGTGTAGTTAGCAATTCACAAAGGTATGGAGAGGAAGAAGAAGATATCACAATGGTTGAATCTTACTAACAACCTCACATGTCTTCCCTCTCTCTCGGTTGCCTCTATTCTCTCAACTCTCCTCTCCATTGCTACAGCACACAGACACACACACACACTCTAAAACGGCTGGGAGATAAATACATATATATAGGTTAGTTTAGGTCACTCCAATTAGGCCTAGGGTTCACTAAGAGGGCTACCAATTAACCTAAACTAATGGGTCAATATTCAACTCCGTATTAATCACTAAATGGTCCAACTAACCAAATAATCATCCAACCCAAATCCGAGCCATCCAAAAGTGTAGTTCGTCTCCAAGCCGAGCCAAGTCCATGGTGTCGATAAATAATTCGACAACTGTTTTAAATCATCGTCCGAATTATTGAATATCAAAAAACCCAACAATCTCCACCTTGATGCCCAATAATCTGCAAGTAACTAAAACACATAGTTTATACTTGCACAATCAAGTTAATCCAATAAAATTGGAATAACAGACCTTACCTCGTGTTTCGAACCGAAACACATACCATACTTGCTCCATGTACTTACCAGGGCTAAGATCAAAAATACCCAAGTAGAAACAAGTATTCACAATGAACAAACAATCATGCGATGAAGATATATAGGATAACACACTAAAAATCTTTTCAAAATCACGTTCACACAGAACCACAGATTAACACCTAGTTAATCAAACCACGATCAACCACATACGCAACACATGCATAAATGACCCTAAGAAAAGATCCCACCACACTTATCCTATCCCATTCCGTGTTGCTCACACCTCGAGAACACATATCTTCTCTCATCGCCCACAATGCTCACTAAATCAATCACTTAAATCATGTCTAATTGGCACATCACAATAGATCCTAAGCTCTCGGGATAATCCTCTATCACCACATCACTTTTTCCAACCTACGTGGATAATGGGACTCCACCTTACAGAAGTGATAGAAGTGTCTCTCTCACACTCCACTTGTACAGGGTCTCTTTCACAGATAAATGATTCTACACATTTGATTACATCTCCACTCATGATCCAAATGTCACACTCTACATCCCTCGTGCATATCACCAATGCACCTTTAGGCATCTATACTCCACCTTACCAAAAGACATCCAACTCATTGCTAATGCATCTCAAACTCACTATGGCAAATCAACACCTTTCGATGACCACAAAGGTTACTCCAATTACTAAAGCTCTAAAAATCCACAAAAAAAAGGGAGAAGGTGGCACTCACAAAGAAAAATCAAAGAAAGAGTCGGTTACTTCACAACATTCACAAAGAAGGATCACAAAGAGGAAGAATATAACCCTAACATGGCTGCCTCACATAATCTCACAAACCACATAGGCTCACAAAGATAAAGGAGAGAAACGACTGTCCAACTTTCTTCTCACTACCACACTCTCACACCACTCACAGAGCAAATAGAGTACGCCACAAAACTTAACCCACTATACATGTAAACATGTTACACAAAGTAATAAGTCACTCTAATTCATGCAATTACACACATCAAACATATTGAAAGTGTAACATCAACATTACAACATAATTAAGTGATCATATACATGCAGAAAGGATTACACACAGATGCAATGCAAGAACCAGGTTTATTCTCTCAATAAACCTCATTAGGATCACTACTCGACCCTAAAGTCACATTCACCTCGTCTCTATCCTCATCTTTCCTTTTATTATTATCCTAAGACAATCTCTTTCAACTATACCCAAATTGTACCAAAGTTAAAACATATTTTATTTATTGCACTTGCCTTAGACCTAAACATACCAACAATACCAAATAATGACCACAAGCAAAGTACTGACACATAATTCACACAGAACAATCAAGTAAATTTTCCCAAGGTCACATGCAATTCTATCGGTGTAGAAAAATTGGTGACAAATTCACATAAAATTTAAGGTAATTAACATGTAATTCCTAGGTCTAGCAACAAACAATGGTTACCCCAAACCTAATGTCACTCCATACGATGACTTCTAATGCGAAAAATAAATAATTAACCTACACATTAATTTTAACTGTAATAATAAAAAGCAAAGAACACGATACTGAGCGGACCACGTCTGAAGGTCCGTAAATATCGAGACATGCGAATTCATCACTTTAGGATTACCACTGTTCGTCCTAAAGTCTCTGGAAACTGCAGCAACCAAAAAAAACCACGATTGAGTCATGAACATCCGAAGAACAATGCTGTCCAAATTCTTTTGCGTATCCTGAAACAGAAAACGTTTAACATGAAAAATGTCAAAAATAATATGAGAAACAAACCGCCTGAAGCGACCGTCGCTAAAAAACTCTCCACACACCCGTACGCGCCGATCGAGTCTCTGTGCGTGGCCTCCACCGTCCACACGCGCCTGATCGCCACCACCTGCACGTTACACCAGTGGTCTCCATTTCCCCAAACTCCTTCTGGATTGGTCAGAAAACACCAAAATAGGGGTGATTTTTAACAATTTTCTGGACAGTTTTTCGATCTGATTTCTGCTACGTTTCTGCCGATTTCTGGACGATTTTTGGTAGATTTCATGAGCCAAAACCTTCACCTTGAAGCTCTGATACCATTTGTAGCGAAAATCCCTCGATAAATCTTGATTCCGAGCTCATAAAATAACCAAACGAATACCGATTTACCTCGACTCGACCCAAGACTTTCACCTTCACTTTAAACTGTCTAAACTCTTTCAAACCCCACAAGGAGAAGGGTGGTGGTGTTAGCAATCCACAAAGATATAGAGAGGAAGAAGAAGATATCACCAATTGCACATGTTATACAAACGTTCTGGACACTTCTGGACACCTTTTTTCTCACACAAAGGGGGGCAGCCGGGATTCACTTTTTTTTCTCTCAAAAATCACACAATCATCATTAGAAAGTGGCTATGGTTATAGCCAAATATATACTCTAGGGTTAGGCTTTAAGTTGGGCCATTAAAGGGGTAAATGAGCCAAGATTCAAGCCATCCATAAGGAATACAATTGGGTTGGGTGTAGCTCATGGATTTGGTTTTTGGACTTATTTCATTCATCAGCCTATGCCTATGAAATAATATTAACCTACGTTAACATCATAACCCGAAATTTATTGGGTATCAAAAAACCCAACAGTAAGCACAACAGCAGTTTGCCATTGAGGCATCTCAGAACATGAGACTTCTTTATGTCCTCCAGAAATTCTCGTCACAAAATTTTGAAGGATGGGGATTCGGTGTTGTATCGAATTAATTGAGTCCCTTCTTCATCACCAATATTTCCTGCGAAATATTTCTTCATAACCCGATCTTCTTTCCCGCTATGGCTTTTGGACGTATTGTTAAACAAGAAACTTACTGATTTCTCACTTAAATAAAAGAGAACTAATCAGACATCAAAATTATTTTGTACGCTAAATTTGATTTGAGAATATTTGAATATTTATTGCTTATTGAGAACACATTTTCAATCGTTTAGTGTACTTGTTACTTTAACCTTTGAGATGAGATGCCACGTGATCAAATACAATAATGTCAAAGTTTTGAAAATTTTAAAAACTGGTTTGTTTAATTGCATCATGGTTCTCACTCCTAATATACCACTTGCACTGACCCAAGGTCCAATGAATCAATTTTTCGATGGATCAAACAGTTCGATTTAGATTCAATTCTTTCAAGAACTTGACTCTATGTTATATAGTTCTAGTACTAATTGTGTTGACCGGTATTTGGAACCTATACGGAGTAGTTTGTTAGATTGGTTCTCCTTTTTTGGGTCGATCTGCTATGCAATGTCGAATTTGTCGATTCTTAAAATATACAGTTAAATTTTTTAAGCTATGACTAATTGTCATTCCAGAGCACTACTGTACAATTATTGTTTTAGATTACTTTTTGAAATAATCATTGATGAGAGCGTAGTATAATCACAGGGTTTTTGATTTATAAAGTAAAATAAGAGCCTCTTCAAACCAGCGGGGATAGCTCAGTTGGGAGAGCGTCAGACTGAAGATCTGAAGGTCGCGTGTTCGATCCACGCTCACCGCATATTTTATCTTTCCGGTTTTCAGACATTAATTTTATTATTATTATTATTATTATTATTATTATTATTTTTTCTGTAATAATCAAAATATCTCCTCGCGGAAGAGATAAATTGTGGATAGGAGGATATAAGTCTGAGATTTTATAATCTTTTGAAGCCTTCTGATTGGTTGATTATTTTACTTGTCAATTATCAGCCACCACAATTTCCATACCTGAAATCTTAACCACCAATCCATGATTCTCACTTTGTACATAAACCCACCCTTCACCTCCAAAATACACAGCTTTTCTCCATCAACAGTCATATTACAGAGAAGTTCACAGCTCTAAACTTGAAGAAGAAATGTCATCAATGGCTGCCACTGCCAGTTCTAGCACTGTTGTTAGGGCAACTCCATTCTTGGGCCAAACAAAAAATGTCAACCCTCTTAAAGATGTTGTCTCTATGGGAAATGGAAAATACACCATGGTACCCCTCACCCCACGCCTTCTGGTATGGTTATGTCACTTATGATTTGGTTTAATGCTTTTGATTTTCTGGACAGGGTAATGAATTATGGTATGGACCGGACCGCGTCAAGTACTTGGGACCGTTCTCAGCTCAAACTCCATCGTACTTGACCGGAGAATTCCCCGGTGATTATGGTTGGGACACTGCTGGATTATCTGCTGATCCTGAGGCATTTGCAAGGAACAGGGCCCTTGAGGTATTCTAAGTGTTTAAACATTTTTAATTAGTACAACTCTACAAGTTCTTGATCTAAAAGAGGCATGAAAATATAATTAACTTGCCAGGTTATTCACGGGAGATGGGCAATGCTTGGAGCTCTGGGATGCATCACCCCAGAAGTTCTTGAGAAATGGGTTAAAGTGGATTTCAAAGAGCCAGTGTGGTTCAAGGCTGGAGCTCAAATCTTCTCTGAAGGTGGACTAGACTACTTGGGCAATCCCAATCTTGTACATGCACAGAGCATTTTGGCAGTTCTTGGATTCCAAGTTGTTCTCATGGGACTCGTTGAAGGATTCAGAATCAACGGTTTAGAAGGTGTCGGTGAGGGCAATGACCTTTACCCCGGTGGCCAATACTTCGATCCTCTTGGCCTTGCTGATGACCCTGTGACTTTTGCTGAGCTCAAGGTGAAGGAAATCAAGAATGGAAGGCTAGCCATGTTCTCCATGTTCGGATTCTTTGTTCAGGCTATTGTCACTGGAAAAGGCCCTCTGGAGAATCTGCTGGACCATCTCGATAACCCTGTTGCTAACAATGCCTGGGTTTATGCCACCAAGTTCGTGCCAGGATCATAAACCCAGTTTCATTTGTTCGTTCTAGTACCACAAAATGAAGAGAATGCATGATTGTGTAAATTTGCACTGAATTGCACAAATGATTGGAGAACGGACGCATTTACTATTTCAATTCGACAAATAGTGTCATGTACATTTCTTTATATCTTCCCAACATTCAATTGAATAATGAATTACATCATTGACACATGCTATATACATATAAGCTCATGCTGAACTCAGGCAGGGATGACTGCGAAGTAAATCAACAGAATCCCTAGGTTGATGAGTGGGATAATTTGATGACAAAAGTGATACATGTACACAAATTACTATCCTACTCTCCACCAAATTGATTCTGCAGCAAATCAATACAAGAATATAGACGCCCCTGAAACAAATAAGATGTTTGACGGCTTGGTCACCTAAAAAATAATCAAAATGCTAAGATGTTTTGCTCTTCTATCCCCCACCATATTAGTCGATTTCTCTCAGCAGCTTCATCCTGTGGTAGCCTGTGTACTTTTGCCTTGGCTTCCCTTCACCGGACCCTGTAATCCTTTTTCCACAACTGAAATCTGGATTTCAGAGACTGCAGTTCTTCGTCGGGATCTATGGCATGCCCCGACGTGACATCATCAATTGCTCTGGCCTCGCCATCAAAATTTTTTTTCCTTCGCTCAAAGCCCTTTGCAAGGGAGTTTGCATGTAAACCACCGCCAGTCAATCGGCCTGCTCCAAAATCTATACCATTGTAAGCAAATTTTATAGGGGTGCTACCACCAGGAGTCTGTGTTCCCACAGACATATCCTCAAACTCATAACAGCAAGGTGATGGGGAGTCATCAATCCTTGCACGTTGACCTGAATTGTCATCAACACCAAGACTCATTTTGGCTGCAGCCAAATTCATCTGTAGTATCAGTAATATCAGAATAAGTAACTTAAGGGGCCAGATAATAATTCCTAGAAGTAACTTAGAGCATAATAAACTCACTTGCAAAAATGCTGTATGCTTTTGCCACACCGCCTCCAAAAATTTCATCTTAGATTCATATTCAGACCACCGTACCTCAAATTGTCTTATTTGCAATCTTAGAGCAGCATTTTCTTTATCCTTCTGCCCAATAATTGCTTCTGCCATCAACACTTCCCTTTGAAGTTCTTCCACCACGGAAGATAACATTTCGGGCAGCATAGCCTGCTCAGCCACTAAGAGTTTATTTTACTTGAAAATCCACAAAATCAAAGATCATAGACAGAATAAGGGGGATAAATGTCTATGGGTTGGGAAGAAAATAGAGTGAAGGCACTTACGTTTTGACTCACATCCACTTGTTCATTTTCAGTGCATGAAACATAAATGCAAGTTTTTTTATTTCCTTTCGAGATCCATGCATGAAACATAAATTTACATTTAAGAGAGGAAAGAGCCGTTTATTTCACTCATAAGCACATTTTTCATGTTCAGTGAACTTGAAAAAGAGATGCAAGTTTCTTCGTCATTTTCCAAGCATAAGTACAGATGATATCTCCATACATCTAAGAGGACATTAGATATATGTAACTGGCATTAGTGATTTAACAGCAGATGGTACTGAATCTTATAGAAGCAATAAATAAAAATTAGTACCTTAACGTTAGAAATCTTCCTGCTTGGTTTCCCTTTAGCAACATTGGACCTTTTCGAATTCCTAAGGTAACTAAATTGCTGTTGCGCCAACCACCAACGAATTGCTGTAGAAGAGAATGTAAGGGGTTAGGATAATATATACAACTAGAACACCAAAGACATTTACGAACAGAAAATCTTTATCCAATTGAATTTTCACAACTGATATCCGCTGCTTATTTGGCATTCCATAAGCAACGTGCTCATTCAACTTGAGCAAAGCACAATGCTTCCTTCTGGAAATTTCACCACAAATAACTGCAAAGAGTATGAAACGTCAACACTTGAGAGAAGTAACATATTATTGGATAACTTATTAGAAGAAGCAAAATATTAGGATTCAGAGAAAATATCATGCATCTAAAAAAAATGCTGGTTCTACAGAACTCAAGCAATATTGGGAAGCTTCACATAATCACATTAGAACGGAAAAGATCTAGTGATATTCTGGGAGATTCGCCAATCTACCACTGAACGCAGCAGGTATTGCAAATTGTAGCATGGATTTATAGAAGTAATAATGATGTAAAAGACATACTGCTCCCAAAATCATCTCAGCTGGAAAATTAATTAATTTCAAAATGACCGGTAATTCATGTCAGCCTCACATGATTGCAATTTTATTACTCCTCCTTTGAGCTCATGAAAGTGTCGACGAGCATGATGACCACGAAAGCACTTCTGAATGGCAAGAGTACCTTGCAAAACTTGGTTTCTATCTTCTTCAAGCGCCAATCTGTAGTTTATGAAAAAGAAAATTAGACAAACTAATCCACAGGATCTTTTAGCTTCTGAATTCTGATGATAATCAACAGCAAATTTTGGTCGAGTATCAAGGTGCTAATGAACAACCACAATTTTTTTCCATAAACTATATTTGACTTGATTGCCTTGATAATAATCTAAGTTTAGTGCAGGGGAAAGAAATAATTAATGGAAATTTGCCAATCCTCTTCGCCACGTCGGGGTTATGAGATTCGAACCCAATAAGCCAGAATATAGAAATCAGAGTAACCAATTGCTACCTAGACTAAACATTGTGCAGATTGCTCTCGTCCTTTGCTTTAGTCTTCATCTTTAATTTCACTACATCCAGAACTGATGGGAAAAGCAATGATAATCCTCAATATTGGAGGAGCTCTGAATCACATTATGAGATTATTCGATCAATCTTCATGATGTATTTATCTTTTCCATTTTTAGCCATACACTTCTGGATTGCACAAAGTGACTGGACACACAAATGTGTATCCACATAGCTTAAGAGCTGTAGCTGCTTTATATGCAACATAACACATACTATGAAGTGTCAATTGTGTATATGGCCATTGGCAAACAGCTAAACAAGGCATAATATATTAAATAATAAGTTGGACCATTGATATATACACAAACTTGCCTATTGTGCTCGGAAGTACAGTCCTACAACCAACTTCGTGCATCAGGAATGATATCAAACTGCTGCAGAATGGCTACTAATACTTAAGGCACTACTCTGGCTTTCCACCTAGCAGAAAAGGTCCCAGATTTTTAACATATAACGAAGTTGACCATATTTGAAGACAATCTAGAACTAGCTGTAAGTATAATGTCTGCTACATACCATTCAAGCATCTAAACAATAGTCGGTTAGGGAAAATTTGTAGAATCTGGGTTTGGCTCGAATGCTTAGGTGATGGCCGCCTATGCTATAATTTTAATGTTTAATTACTTCAATGAACACATGTTGCAAATATTATTATAAACACTATATGTACTTGTGACTTTTCTAGGTGCAATTTCGTTCTTGTAATGCTTATAAATTATATAGATGAATGCACATGAGTACATACACACACAATTATATTATGGTAAGAATTGGCAGTAATACATAAAATGAAGAACATAGATAAAGGGAAAAACTGGAGAAACAAACTACAAAGTTTCTGATATAAAAAATAAGCTCCAATATTTTCATTACATTTCAATAAGCCTTCCATTTTTTTGTTCAGTGCAAAAGTCTAATCCAACTATATGATCATCCAATTTGGAGTGTGTTCTATGAATCTACTACTTAAACCACACTAAATCCTCATAAGTGAATTCAATTAACACTCCGAGAATAAGTATAAAACTCAAAACTCAGCAATAAAGCTTCACAATTGTAAAGATCCAGTTCTGGAAGGAAAAAATGATCAAAATGCAAGCACATTTTTGTACCTTCTCAACGAAATAACCAACACTGTCATCCCATTCGGACTCCTTAAATCTTGGGTGTAAATCCAAGGGCGAGCTGGTGAGTTTAGCATGATCCTTATCCTCTGACCTTGGCGCACCTACCATCTCCCATTCCTTGACCCTTTTAGCTACAAAACTATTTCCTCCTATACCTTCTGTATCTTCCTTTTTTACATTTATATTTGATGAGCGCTTCGAGGACTCAGATTCCCCAATATTGATGCTTTTGGGCAGCGGCCTCTTAGATGATGGCAACCGGGCCCTGGATGCTGGCTTGGGCCGTGCCGGCAGCGCCGGAGGCCTGTCCTTCGGCCTCTCATTCTCGTCCTTTCTCCGGAGGGAATCCAGCATTTCCTCCATGGAGCTCCGAACTATTGAATTCGGCGACATAGACAACATTTTCAACACGTTTCACCGCAAAATCCACAAATACATACGAAATGTCGATCAATTTGTGAAAAAAATTAGTTTTCCCCCAAATGTCGACGACATTGTTCAAAACAAGAGCCTAAACCCCTAATTTAATCAGAATCGTAAAATATGAAAGAAAATTTGAAACACAGTTTCAATTTCAGATTTGAAGTTAAAATTCTGGCAGAAACTTGTGAATTGGAGATAACTTTTCAGAAAAAAAATGCAGAAAATTAGGAAATTATGTGGCGAGAAAGAAAACTTAACATTAGATTAAAACTCTAACCTGTTGCTACGGAAGAGCTGAAATTTTAGGTTTAACGTTAGATAATGGTTAACGTGAGGAAACAAAACCTGAACACAGAGAGAGATTCTGCATGGGAGGGAGATAAGCTTCAATGAAAGATGTTTTCATTTTTAATTTTTTTATTTGAATTTCACCTGAAGTGCATTGGATAAAGGGCAACTTGCAAAAGGAAAATGATAAACAAACCTGTGACTGGCGCCTATGTGGCGCCCTCCTATTGGAAGGGGCGTTGGGCCCGCCAATCACAAGGGCTTGTCAAGCGCCTGTCCAAACAGCATGGCCCACAAAATATCCTTAAAATTAGCAATTTTTTGAAAAATTATATGTAAAGTTTTTTGAAATTAAAAAATATTTTGTAAAATTAAAAAGTGATAAAAGTTTAGTATCACTTTTTTATTAAAAAACTACCTACAATGTCACTTTTATTAAAAAGTGATAGAAATTTCAAAAAAACAATTGAAAAAATTTACAAATACTAAAAAAATAGACAAAAATTCAAAAAAAGTGATAATTACTAAAAAGGTGAATAAAATTCAAAAAAGTGATAGAAATTAAATGAGAATTTAAAAAAGAAAAAGTTACACAGACTTATAAAAAGCGCCAGAAAATAAAAAAAAGTAACAAACATTCAAAAAGTAACAAAATTCAAAAAATGACACAAAGTCAAAAAAGGTAACAAACACTCAGACGAAATTAAAAAGAAGCGACAAACACTCGTTGAATAATTAGTATCTATTTTACTCTATTAAGACTTTTGGTAGAAATTTAGAAATAACGACAATTTTCAGTCTATTTGTTAAATCTAAGATGAGAAGGTGATAAAATTATTCAATTTCACATATTGATAGCATTCTTGTATTCAACATAGTAATGATCAATCTCATACAAATTAGTCAAAAGGTGGTGGCCGACGATAGGTTCATGTAAAGGTTTAGCTCGTTTCACGCGTAAACTCCATTTGTGCATTATGGGATTATTCCAATAACAATAAGTTCATGCTTGACCGACTGATCCTCCACAGGTGTGAAATTTCTAGCAATTTGAACATGTGGGTCAGTAGTCTTAGGGAGCAGATGCCGTAACTCGTGATACCAAGGCAGCTTCCACCGCACCTAAAGCCTTCGCCTCCGTTTTCTATTTCACTGCGGCCCCGACGAATAAGTTGTTTTCTTCTTCATCGGTGTAATTACACTTGTTTGCAATGGCTGCTATGGGAAAGTAAGCACAGAAGGAGGGTTCAAAAGCATAGTGAATCCTTTCTCTTTTGGAGTGGGAATTGGGGATCTGATTTGGGGTTTTTTTTGGCTTTTAGGACATATTAATTACGTGATAAGTATTTTATTTTATTTTATTTAAAAGTGCATTATTCAATTTGGTTAATTTAATATAGCGTGCCTAATTTACCCGTCGATAAATAAGCCTATTTCCCAGGACGGCCCAGAACATAAGATTAAGCCCAATAATTATTTGTTTTCGGCCCAATGGGCTCCTATTTTATAAACTACTAGAAAACCCTAACTCCTCCAAACCCCACGATTCAGCAATGGCGAAGAACAGAAACAAGAAGAAGAAAAATGGAACTGGTCTAATGGATATGGATGTCAAATCAGATGATCATAAGGTCATAGATATTCCTCAAGGTCTGCGCTCTTTTCTTTTTTTTTTTTTTTTTTTTTCCATTTTCTTTTTTTTTTTTTTTTTTTTTTTTTTTTTTGCCATTTTCCTGCAAAAATTAATCTTCTTCCTGAACTTCAAACTTTTTAGCTATGGATACGTCGGAGACCGTAGCTTCCAGTGCCTTTTCCGGTGGACCGCTCAGGTCAGTGTTCCTTCATTATTCGTACTGTCGTGATCTGAATTTTGTTTTCGCTTAAATAATTCGTGAATTAAGGATAGAAGTTATGATTTAGTGAAAACTGAGTATATAAATATAATTTATATATGTTAATGATGTATGATAAATATGCTAAAACTTTATAAAAATTCTATGCAGTTGTAGTCTATATCCTAAATCGAGATTTTAGTTTCACGAGGATAGAATTGCTCATTAGATTTTTTACTAAATATGGATTCCAAGATAGGCCTATCATTTTGTGGCTGATGACCACATTTGAAATGCAATTTCTGAGCAACTCATATGGACACGAGATGCTTATTCTTGATCAAAATTTCGATTCTGCCCTCTTTTTAATACCAATATCCAGAGACACCACAACNTCGCCTCCGTTTTCTATTTCACTGCGGCCCCGACGAATAAGTTGTTTTCTTCTTCATCGGTGTAATTACACTTGTTTGCAATGACTGCTATGGGAAAGTAAGCACAGAAGGAGGGTTCAAAAGCATAGTGAATCCTTTCTCTTTTGGAGTGGGAATTGGGGATCTGATTTGGGGGCGTGTTCTGAATTTTTGTTTTCGCTTAAATAATTCGTGAATTAAGGATAGAAGTTATGATTTAGTGAAAACTGAGTATATAAATATAATTTATATATGTTAATGATGTATGATAAATATGCTAAAACTTTATAAAAATTCTATGCAGTTGTAGTCTATATCCTAAATCGAGATTTTAGTTTCACGAGGATAGAATTGCTCATTAGATTTTTTACTAAATATGGATTCCAAGATAGGCCTATCATTTTGTGGCTGATGACCACATTTGAAATGCAATTTCTGAGCAACTCATATGGACACGAGATGCTTATTCTTGATCAAAATTTCGATTCTGCCCTCTTTTTAATACCAATATCCAGAGACACCACAACCACCTAGAGTTTCATAACAAAGTTGTATACTCAACAAGTTATTCTATCTTGAAATGACATTTTTATTACCTAATGTACAGCATAATGCTACAAACAAAGTTTTGTATTGCACAATGGAGCTGAAAATTTGTTTTACATTTAAACAAGGTGAAAGCTTGTTGGAAATATGTCTACTGATTGGTGTGGATCTGAGATTTAGGAAATTTTAGACATTCTGTTGCAGGATAATAGACTATACGTTATTGTCGAAAGATTTTGTTTGTTCAGGATGGTCAATTGAACATTCTTACTGACATTTAAAGAAACACTTGCCTACACCGTGAAGATAATTTAAATCTTTCAATCATTTGATGCCAGATTCTAGTTTAGAGAATACAAAGGACTTAAATATAGATTTGATATTTGAGAGTTTACTGCAACCTTGAAGGATAGATCAGTGGTTAGGCCTTGGGTTTGCTTCCCAATAGTCACCAGTTTGAGTCCCCTCAGGACCACTGAGGTGAGTATCTGGTTGTAAACTTTAGGGCCCCGTGGGATTAGTTGAGGTGCACGTAAGCTGATTCGGACAATCATGGTCATAAAAAAAAAATAATAATAAAAAAATTTGAGAGTTTACTGCAATTCAGTTTAAAATATCAATTTATATTGACAACAGATTATGAAATTGTGGTTAAATTACATTAAGGAAGCAATTTCTTTTGTAACAATTTTGTTTGTTTCAGATAGATGGTATGCCAATCTCTTTTGAATCACATTACTTAGTTTGAAATTTTTGTCAATTTATTTTTGCAGGAAGAAGAAAATGGGAAAACAAATGAAAAGATCAAAAAATGTGCGGAAGATGAAGGCAATAGCAAAAGCTATATCCCTAAATGACAAGTCGGATGAGAAAATTTCAAAAAATGAGAGCAAGACGTTAAGAACTAAATTTGCTAAGAAGCTATACGAGTAGAATTTCACTTTGATCTAGTTTATTGTGTGTGTATCTGATACACAGCATAGTTGTGGAATGTAACTCTTAACTTCCTAGTTAAGTAATTTGGTTCATCGTTTGGTCCTTATCCTGTGCTTTGGGATTGACCTGTGCTTAACGACTGACTGCAAATGTAGGGTAGTAAATTTAGGATCCATTTGGCTGGACTTTGGCTTATTGTAGAAGAGCGTTCCGACAACACAGGCAATGTATGCAATAAAATCCAGATATGAAAACACTATGGTGCTGCTGTTTTAGCGTTTGTTGGCACCCTTTGAAGACTTTCCACACTCCTTATGTACGTCTATACATTGACGTCTGGCCCTTGTCTGGTGTAGTTTAAATTTGGATTTTTAGCAAATTTTGATAGCAGTTGATAAAATATGTGGTTGAAAAGTTATGAATTTCATGTGTAATTAAAATTACACATCAAAATTAATATTTATTTTTTATTTTTTATTTTTTATTTTTTTTGGTTATATCAAGATGTTAATTCACACCACAAAGGTATTTAATTTGCAATGTGGAAACTTTGTTAACGGCTCGTACAGTGCCGGGATTGAAAATCCATGTAAAATAATTATTCAACAACACAGTAATTAAAGAATTATTTGAATCTGACAGCAAGTAGTTTAGATTATCAAGATGTTAGCCAATTACTTACCAGTCATGTTTACGTACAAAAAGAACACTTGGCAATTTTAATACAACAATGACACATTGATCTTTGATACAACAATGAGAGAAAATACGTAGCACCTGTATGATTTCTGTAAAGCTGAAATCTGCTTGAGTTTTTGGTTGTAGTATAGTTTGCACTAAAACTTGTCAAGATGGCAACTAATAACAAAATAGAGAATTGTTTCTTGTTGATTGTATGGCTCTATATTTAATAAAATAAATCTAGCTTATAAAATAGGTCTATTCAATGATGAAAATTTGTGTTCTATAGAATTTCGTCGAGCACAATTTCAATAGATATTTGTATTAAATATTTGATTATGTAATATTATGAACTTATTCTAAATTTTAACTCATAGGACACAGTGTTGAGTCTTCACAAGATGGTGAGAAAATGATGCACAATCCACCAATTGGGCAAGAAACTTTGCTGCTAACAATGCCCTGAAAGCATCATTTATCGTCTCCTTTAATTAGAGATGCTTTATGGACTCCAAGCAAATGTGGATTTTTCAAACCTTAATCTGGATTGCAGAAGCGCTAGTAACCCTGAGGGGTAGTTTAGTGATTGGGCTTTGAGGTTGCATTCCAATGGTCACCAGTTCGAGTCCCCTTAAAACTAATGAGATGAATACCCGACTGGAAATTTCAGGACTCCGTGAAATTAGTCGAGATACGCGTACGTTGGTCCAAACACCTACGGTCATAAAAAAAAACGCAGAATCACTAGTAAAATTCTAAAAAAAATAATAATGAATACTCTATAAGATATGTTTTTCTTATATTTTATATAAATTTCAACTGTTATATTTATAATGAATAATCATGACAAGATAAAAGGACGTGATTATCAGGATGAAGAGGCACCATATGGTGCAAAAAAACTTATTTCCCACTGCTCAATGCGTAGGTACGTTGCCACCTACACTACTAATGATCAATGCTCGTTAGATGGCAGCACAACTATATTGTGTGCTGCTTACCCCCTTTACCATTACACATTTTCATCATCGTTCATCCATTCTCCTGTCCAATTTACCAATATTCGAACAACATATTACATATATAACCCATACTTGTACAATTCATATGAATGTGAAGATGAGATGAAAATAAGGATGCCATTCTTTGTAAGATTAGTTGGTGAAGTTATTTCTCATTCTGTGGCCAACTTGGGTAGATTTTTTTAAGATCCATTTGGCGGAACTTTTACTTATGGTAAAAAAGTTTTTTGAAATAATTACTTTAGGTAACTCTTCTAAAATTTATTCTTGCCAACAAGTTTAAAGATAATTTTTGACTCTTAACGAAGTTCCTCCAATAGAAACAGCGAGAAATGAAGATTACTGTATAAAGTAAAGTAAAGTAAAAGAGAGCACGTTATGAGACTCTCGAGTCTCAAGTCTTCCCTTCTCTTTACTTTTTCTTCAAAGTGGCCAATCAGTTTCCTCACCCAGACGCGCTTACAGAGAGAAATGGGAATTCGGGATTTCTTCAACTCAAGCACAGAAGCAGTGAAGCGAAATGCACCGAATTTCGCTCCGGTGAAGAACGCATGTACAACCTCTTACAGTTATGGCTCCGCCGCCTGCGCCAAGATCGATAATACCGTCAGAGTAAACGGCCTCAAAAGGCTCAAACAGTGGCTTCCGGATGATGAGGCCAAATCCAAGATCGGTATCTTTGCTGTAAAATTCGCTAAAAATGCTGGCCTCTATGTCCTCCACGAGGGTTATAAATTTATTCCTGGTTTGCGTCCATCTCACATACCACAGTTTTCCTTTTTTTTGGGTTAAATACTTTACTGAAAGGGGAAGATTCAGTATTTTATATTTACATTCTAATCACATCTTAAATGTGAATCTAAGACTAGTCCAATCCCTTGTATGCTGTTGGTCGTGGAATTTATCACGTTTGAGGAGACCAATTTTGAAATTGGGATGCTTGATTTTTGAGTCTTAATCAGATAAAATTGCTTGTTTTAGCCTAATAAACTTTGATGCCATGTTCTATCTTAAAATGTCACTCTAGAGTAGTCTAATCCGTTTTATGTTGATCTATATTCCGATTATTAGGCTACATGAAATTTAAGAGTGTTGCTAACGTGATTGTTGAATATACGCTACGTAAAGATTTCAAAATATGTAATGTTTTTGGGGGGCTTATATTCTCTGTTTGTTTGTTTACAAAAATAATTATTGCTTGTGAGTGCAGGTGCAGCTGCAGTTTCAGAGATTTTTACTATGACCTTCAAAGAAGTAAAACGTGAGACCTTAAACGAGAAATCCAAGCCATTGGAAAATACGGACACTGCACCAGGGAAACAATTCGCTGGTACCAACAAATCAATGGACCGAGCAGAGATACAACCAGGCTCTCTTGATCATGTTAATTCAATTGACGATCAAAATCCAGCAGACATGAAAAGAATTGGTACGCCTCGTATCCGAAGCTCTCTTTGAGAGGCCACGTGAAGGTACTACACGCAGACATCATGCGGTTGACAAGGACAAAATAAAGGTCATTTGTTCATTTTGTTGTACTGTGTGTTTATGGTGTTCATTTATCAATAATGACTTTGAATTCATTTTATTACTGGATTAGAGCTTTGATATAGGTTGCTCCCCAACTTCTGGTTATTACCCTATTAATTGAAGTGAAATGTATTCTATTTGTTGTTTTTACCGTGAAGTATACATTTCGCTTTTTCTGTACAGAATGACTTATATATTTTTATTTGCCATTCATAAAGACATACATCTTTTTATTAGTACTGCTCAAATTTGATACCTGACAAAATTTTAAAATGTTTATGTTGAATTGTAGTTAAGGGCATTGTGGATATGGTATGAATATTAGTTTGCTGTCCAATTAAATATGAGCAGTCGGTTGAAAGTGTATGAAAATGGAAATATACGGAAAATGGCAAGGAGAAACAACTCATATTCTTGCTTCGGAAACAATTTCTTATGTGGAATTGCATGATAAAGTCAAAGAGGTGTTGGAGGTCGATGCAAATCCATATGAAATGGAGATGTTATCTCTAGTCCCTATAATGCGTAAGGCTCCAGCAGCATCTATCCTCACTGATTGCGACAACAATGTGAAATGGTTTGTATTAGATAGAAAACTTTTCTTTGCGTAATCATTTCGAATGAAGTTATTGAAAATCACGAAAAATTTGGTGACGATGATGTTTATTGCCAAGTGGGGGTGAAAAACAGTTTAGACATATGAACAACGAGGAGGAACATGTTCAAATGGACGACGATGGTAACCATGCCAATGTTCATTCCACTTGCATAGTTCAAGCAGCGGTTGTGAAACTTAAGATTGTAATATTGTTGTGACTTGTAGCTTATTATTTTGTACTAAATAAAATGACCTTTTTATCACTATGTTGCTTTTTCATGATGTTATTGCTTTTGTACTATTGGAACGACACTAAAATCATTTTACGTTGCTGTTTTGAATTTTTTCCACATTACAAACCAACAACTTTTATATCGTATTAAGTTTCTAGAACAATGTAAATGTCATTATATTTGATATTGTTGTCGCTCCAGTACAAAAATTGTAATGCTTCAAATAATGACATGGAAATTGTTCTTGAAATACAACAATATTGATGTCATTCCCAATAAGGAAATCGGAATTTTTCATATAGCTACATTGAAATCATTCCTAAGATAAAAAACGATATGTATGTCATTGGTACGAAAACATTACTGATATACTAATTCACATAATGATATTGAAGTCGTTACGACAAACCTAGTGCAAGATGTACGCGGTTGTCGGCATGTGCTTTTGCTCTTGAGTTCTAAAATAGTTTAGGTCGCTCGCGCGTTGGCCATTCAATAATTTGTGGGATGGACATCGTATATATCACTTTAACATAATGATATTGAGGTAGGTTAGACAGAATTACAATATTGAACAAGTTATAATACAAGAAATTGTTTCAATACAAATTTGTCATCATTGAAATCGCTTTAGATGGAAACATAACTACGATAACATTGATATCATTTTCTTTTCATACGTTCTGTATCAAAAACACAAAATAACATAACCACGCCAATATAATTTCAGTACAAATTTGTCGTCTTTGAAGTCATTTGAGTGTGAAACATAACTAAAATGATTTTGATGTCATTTTTCTTGATATGTAACAGCAATTATCTATGAAAAAAGATGACATCAAAATCGTTTTAGTTATGTTTCGCACTGAAACGACTTCAAAGACGAAAAATTTGTACTGAAATAATATTAACATCGTTATATTATTTTAAATGTTTGATACCAAACTTATACAAGAAGCCAAGCCATTGAAAGTTTGGGACATTGCATCAGGGAAACATTTCACTAGTACTAGAAAAATAATGGACCGAGCAAAGATACAACCAGGCTGTCTTGATCTTGTTGATTCAATTGACAATCAGAAGACAGAAGACGTGATAAGAATATTTATGATGAAACAATTTGTTGGTGCCTAAACTGAGAAACAGCATCCTGAGTAAATGGCAGCAGTTGGGTACTTGAACATCTCTTTTGTGTTTTAAAGATTCCCTCATCATCTTCTTTCATGTGTGGAATACTATGGTCTTAATCTGTGTGTTTAGGAGTATGTATCTGACTCTAGTATTCCTTGTGCTGGTGGTTGACATGCTGAAATTCCTTCTTAGATGTGTGTCTATACCAATCTACAGCCATATGAAAACTCTACAAGGTGATTTGGTAGGTTCGACTCTGCATTAACGTAGAAAAAGAAGTTAAAATCTTGTCAAAGCTTCCATCTGCGCAAGGATTGGCAACATGTCAGGCTAGCTGAAAGTAGTTGCTTCTATCTACATCATTTAAGGAATCAGGGTCCTAATAAATTTTTTTGAGCAAATGAAATTAAGAAGAGAGAACCTTTGATTTCATACGTATAAAGGTCTTCAAACACATCACCATACTAAAATGTAACAATATTCAGGACAACCCTTCTGATCATTGTTTAACATATTTGCCTTATTTAAGAACAAAAAAAAAAATCGTTCTCGACCAGTTACCTCAGGGACTGAATTCTGGTTCCAACTGTTTTGTTCTGTGAATTATCTCATTTTGCTGCTTTATGTTATTCTCGTCTTCTTGCATTTTCTCCAGCGCTGCTTGCATTTCCTCCACCGCTACATAATTTTGCTTCTTATTCCAATCAGAATGCCCCATGTTCTCCCTCCCCTGGTCCCTTACCTTGAAAAACGAAGAAAAATAAAATTTAGAAATGCAAGAATAGCAAGCAAAAAAAAAATAATAATAATAAAAAAATAAAAAAATGACAACTTTTATCTTAAAATTCTCATTTTATCTTCTTTACTCGTCGGGTAGGTTCTTGATACCATTTCAATATATTCTTGGTAAATCTTGCAGTGCATTTTTCAGATTAAAATTAAAGGGCAAGTTCAAACTAACAAACTAAAGATGGTTATTGAAAATGAATTTAATAATACTATTTTTAATCTTTTAATTCTAATTTTGTTGTTACATCTGTAGGCATAAAAATAAAAATAAATAAATAAATAAGTAAATAAAATAAAATGGATTGGTTCGATTTAAATCATTAGTCCAATTAAATCTTAAGTCTACTGAAGTTCATAAAAACTCAAAAGCCCATACCACATTTTAAATAAATAAACAAATAAATAAAATTATAATTACTCAATTATCTCTTTTAATTAAATATAATTGAGTAATTATCAAAATTAATTCGAATCCTCCCTTATAAATAAGATCAATGGTCTATAAGATGGGAGACATAAAGCAAGCAAGAAAAAAAAGACGAGAACTACACGAAGTGCTGAAAAAATTTCGGAACTAGAAGAAGGGAAGAGTTCTTCTCAAATTTTATAAACTACTAGAGAAGGAAAACCCTAACCCACTCCAAACCCCACGATTCAGCAATGGCGAAGAACAAAAACAAGAAGAAGAAAAATGGATCTGGTCTAATGGATATGGACGTCAAATCAGATGATCATAAGGTCATGGATATTCCTCAAGGTCTGTGCTCTTTTTTCTTCTTTTTTTTTTTTTTGCCATTTTCCTGCAAAAATTAATCTTCTTCCTGAACTTCAAACATTTTAGCTATGGATACGTTGGAGACCGTAGCTTCCAGTGCTTTTGCCGGTGGACCGCTCAGGTCAGTGTTCCTTCATTATTTGTACTGTCGTGTTCTGAATTTTTGTTTTCGCTTAAATAATTCGTGAATTAAGGGTAGAAGTTATAATTTAGTGAAAACTGAGTATATAATTATAATTTATATATGTTAATGATGTATGATAAATATGCTAAAACTTTATAAAAATTCTATGCAGTTGTAGTCTATATCCTAAATCGAGATTTTAGTTTCACGAGGATAGAATTACTCATTAGATTTTTGACTAAATATGGATTCCAAGATAGGCCTATCATTTTGTGGCTGATGATCACATTTGAAATGCAATTTCTGAGCAAATCATATGGACACGAGATGCTTATTCTTGATCAAAATTTCGATTCTGCCCTCTTTTTAATACCAATATCCAGAGACACCACAACCACCTAGAGTTTCATAACAAAGTTGTATACTCAACAAGTTATTCTATCTTGAAATGACATTTTTATTACCTAATGTACAGCATAATGCTACAAACAAAGTTTTGTATTGCACAATGGAGCTGAAAATTTGTTTTACATTTAAACAAGGTGAAAGCTTGTTGGAAATATGTCTACTGATTGGTGTGGATCTGAGATTTAGGAAATTTTAGACATTCTGTTGCAGGATAATAGACTATACGTTATTGTCGAAAGATTTTGTTTGTTCAGGATGGTCAATTGAACATTCTTACTGATATTTAAAGAAACACTTGCCTATACCGTGAAGATAATATAAATCTTTCAATCATTTGATGCCAGATTCTAGTTTAGAGAATACAAAGGACATAAATATAGATCTGATATTTGAGAGTTTATTGCAACCCTGAAGGATAGCTCAATGGTCAGATCTTGGGTTTGCTCCCCAATGGTCACCAGTTCGACGAGTCCCCTCAGAACTACTGAGGTGAGTATCTGACTGTAAATTTCAGGGCCCCTTGGGATTAGTCGAGGTTTGCGTGCTGACCCGGATACCCATGGTTATTAAAAAAAAAAAAAAATTCATATTTGAGAGTTTACTGCAATTCAGTTTAAAATATCAATTTATATTGACAACAGATTATGAAATTGTGGTTAAATTACATTAAGGAAGCAATTTCTTTTGTACAATTTTGTTTGTTTCAGATAGATGGTGTGCCAATTTCTTTTGAATCACATTACTTAGTTTGAAATTTTTGTCAATTTATTTTTGCAGGAAGAAGAAAATGGGAAAACAAATGAAAAGATCAAAAAATGTGCGGAAGATGAAGGCAATTGCAAAAGCTATATCCCTAAATGACAAGTCGGATGAGAAAATTTCGAAAAATGAGAGCAAGACATTAAGAACTAAATTTGCTAAGAAGCTATACGAGTAGAATTTCACTCTGAATCTAGTTTAATGTGTGCGTATCTGATATACAGCATAGTTGCGGAATGTTACTCTTAACTTCCTAGTTAAGTAATTTGGTTCATCTTTTAGTCCTTATCTTGTGCTTTGCAATTGATCTGTGCTTAACGACTGACTGCAAATGTAGGGTAGTAAAGTTAGGAGCCATTTGGTTGGACTTTTGCTTATTGTAGAAGAGCTTTCCAATGACAATGGCAATGTAAGCAGTAACAGGGACTACATGCAGTAAAATCCAGATATGAAAAGACTTAGGCGCTGCTGTGTTAGCGTTAGTCGGCACCCTGTGAAGACTTTCCGCACTCTTTATGTACGTCTATATATTGACATTTAGCCCTTGTTTGGTGCAGTTAAAATTCAAATATTAGTAAATTTGACAGAGTTGATAAAATATGTGGTTGAAAAAGTGGGGGTTTCATGAAATGTTTGATCAAAATTAATTGTTGACTTCAACTTAGATTTTTATCATGATATTAATTTACGCCAACAAGGGACTTGATTTGCAATGTGGAAAGTTTGTTAATGACTTGGACAGCAAGTAGGTCAGATTATCAAGACGTTAGTCAATTACTTAACTAAAAGCGGAAATCTGCTTGAGTTTTTGGTAGTCCTATGGTTTACACTAAGACTAGTTAATATGGCAACTTATAACAAAATAGAGAATTGTTTCTTGTTGATTGTATGGCTCTATATTGAACGAAATACATCTAGCTTAGAAAATAGAAATTATTCAATGATGAAAATTGTATTTTACAAAATCAACTTCAATATATATTTGTATTAAATAATTGATTATGTGATACTATGACTATTTCTAAATTTTAATTCATAGGACACACGTAGTGTGAAATCTTCAAAAGATGTTGAGAAAATAAAGCACAATCCACCAATCGGGTAAGGAACTTTGCTGCAACAAGAAGATAATTGGAACCAACTTGAATCACGAAAGAACAATGTCCTGAAAGCATCATTTATCGTCTCTTTCAGTTTGTATCTCTATTGACTCCAAGCAAATAGCTTTAGTGGATTTTTCAAACCTTAATCTGGATTGCAGAAGTACAAGTAAATTTTTTGAAAAAAGAACAATGAATACTCTATAAAATATGATTTTCTTATATTTTATATCAATTTCAACAAATATTTTTATAGTGAATAATCATTACAAGACGAAAGAACATGAATATTAGGATGAAGAGGTACCTTTTTGAGCCAAAAAAACTTATTTTTCAGATCTCAATGCAAAGGTACGTTGCCACCTACACCGCTAATTATCAATGCTCGTTGCATGGGTACATTGTGTATTGCTTAAAAAAAAATAATGAAAAAATACAATTTCAATCAGTTTATACAATATCCAAGTTTAAGGAAGTGCAAGATGAGTTCGTAGGGAAGGTGTATTGCGATGTCGTTGCAGCTTCAGATGGATATTTTGGGACAAAGTACGAGATTCGGGAATCTGTTGTATATCCTGAGGGCAGGAGGAAGAAATCATATTTCGTGACATTTCGAATGGACACAAGTGAAGTTCTTTGCAGTTGCCATTTGTTTGAGTTTCGAGGAATTATTTGTAGGCATGCGATCACAGTATTAGATCGTAATGACATCACGACAATGCCGGATAGGTATATAATCAGGAGATGGAGGAAAGACGTAAGTAGAGCACACACAAGAGTCGCGGTGAACTACGACGGGTTAGCTAGTACTCCAGAACAGATTTGATATGATGATTTGTGTCAGACATTTTCAGAGTTGGCGGACCTTGCTGCAAATGATGAAGGGCAGGCTCGTGTGGTAAAGGATTGGATAAAATGTCAAACCGCAGAACTAAGGTCTTTAAATTCGAGTAATGGTAGTAATGTTCTTTCCCAACCAAGTATGCATTTACAAGGCCAATGTAATAATTCAGAAAGTCCTGGCGGCGTGAATGTATTAGATCCTAAAACATCGAATAGAAAGGGCGCGCCAAGGAAACTTAGGAGGAAAAGTGCGTTGGAGTCCACTTCAAAGAAGGCTAAGGTAAGTTGCTTTACTAATCTCGTCAAATAGAAAAGGAGCTTTGCTATGAAATCTTATTTCTTTCCACGTACATGCACAGGGTACTTCAAATAAATCCAAAGGAAAGAGACTACCACCCAGCCGTACCGATATGGAAGAGGCTACATCGGTCCTTCAGTTATCTGGACGAATTGAAGATTCTCAGCCTACCCAATTTTCATATTCACAGTTGTTGGTAAGTTTATGATTTTAATGTAATTAAATCTAATTTTAGGCTCTCTTGATATGGGAATTAACGTTGTCATACGATGCAGGGTGACGTACAAAGTCAAGTGTGTGCCCAACAGTTATCTTCATCTACCTTTACCCCTCCGTTGATACCGTATCATACTTTAGGTACTTCAGGTCCATGTGTTGATCAGGTAAAGGTATACTTTGTTTCATATGCATGTTGTGTGACAAACATTAAATGATCACTGGTAATGTATAACTATTGTTTATTTTATTTTCAGCTGAACGGTACGGATCGTTTCCCAAGAGCTTCCCACATTGCAGACGACATGGCCCGTAATCGACCCTTTACGGCAAATAATGACAACGACGAAATCTGATATGGGAATTGAATTGGGGGCGGAACTCGGTTTTATGTCATTTCTGTGTTTTGAGGGGAATTTTTCTGTCTTTATGTATAACTATTGTTCATTTCCTGTGCATCTTGGTAGACTTTGTGGACTGTGCTTTTGCTTGGCAGTGTTAATTGTAGTGTTTATGACTTTATGACTTTCCTGTGATATGGATTTTACTGTCAGATGGATGTTGCTGTGATATGTATTTTGCTTATCAAGATTCATTTACAGCTCCAGAAAATGAATTTTGCCACAAAATGGATGTTGCTGTGATATGTATTTTGCTTATCAAGATTTATTTACAGGTCCAGAAAATGTATTTTGCCACAAAATGTATGTTGTAGTCATTAGTGATTGCTTGCTTAATTCAAGAACAGCTCCAGGTAGTCGATTGCTTGCTTAATTCATTAGTGATTGCTTGCTTACTGATTGCAGTTTACTGATAAATGGAGAGGCAGTTTACTGATTTGCTTGTACTTCTATATATTAAAACTGATGCAAATAGCTGGCAGCAGTTAGTAACTGCTAGAATCTTCAAGTTAGTTAGAGTTAGTTTGGACAGCTGAAATTAGTTAGTGTATAGTTGGAGTCAGTTAACTGTGTGCTTATAAGTAGCTGGATGTATCCAATTTCTTTGATCAATATACACGTTCATTTTCCCTCAATACTATATAAACTCCAACTTCATAACACTTTCGTAGCAATCTTTGCAATTCAATTTCCATGGTACAGAAAAGTCTAATTTAGGGACAAGTTGTAGTTATAGTTATATAGAAAAATGCAGTACACAAATGTTGGGGTAAAATATAATTCCTTCAACATGGTTTACATAAGTTTCCCCATAACAACTACATCTTTGAATAACAGGAAGTTCCAAGGCTTCCATACAACAGGTAAATCATACTTGATTCAGGCTTTCAAGATACAAAATGAAGCCTTCAACATCTACACTACCACTTAGCCCCCAATGGTCTTTATTCTACAGCCGACACACACACAAAAACAAGCCATAACATTCTCCTGCTACTTATCAAGCTCGGCCCTTTCCCTTTCCATTCACTTCCGCACTTCCCTTTGCCTTGCGGAAAGTCACATTCAACGTTATCTCGACGTCTCGTTTTTCTGCTATTTGAGCTAGACTATCGAACATGGCTGCCAAATCTTCGCCCACTTCATCTATGACCGCTTCAGTCCTTGTACTACTTTCACCACAGAATTCTTCATTCTCGACCCAAAAGAAATATCCACAATTATTACTGCACGTTTTGAATAATCGTCCTCGATTATCTGTCTTCCTTTCAACTTCAAAGCATTTCTCCCATCCCAGTGAGCACCATGGACATCCTCGTTTTACCGGACAGTCATTGAAGAAGTGCTGTGTACTTCGACAACTGTGACAAACACCCACGTTCTTCCGTCTCATCCTGGACGGTAATAAACACAAATAGCATATGCAGTTAATTGTCACAAATAATACCAGCATCTCACAACAATTCACAGGGAATGGGAAAGTAAAAACTGAATAAGATTCGGAAGAAACTAACCTCACTTACGGCTGATGCGGGCTAGTCGAATGCTGCTAGTGGAGTTGACTGTGGCATCTGTGAACAAAGGTGAGGAAAATTAGTTTTTCGATCAAACTTAATTTTAGTTTTTTCACAAGTTCTTTCACTGACAGTTTGGAAGGAAACTGACTTCACTGAAAGCTTACAGTTTTCACTATTTTGGGGAAAATTATGCCGTTTTGGAGGAAGCCCAAATATTTAAAGCCGACAAATTTGGGGTAAAATTCATAAGACAACCCACGAAACGAAAGTGAAGATACCTTGATGTTCAGGGCTGACTCGACGCCCGACGGTGGAGAAGGGTACGGCGTACGGTGGTGAAGATGAAGGAGGCGATTTCACCGTATGCGGGGTACGGTGGTGAAGTCCAAGGAGACGATATCACTCTCTGTTCGACGTTCGAATATCTGTGCACATTTCAACTCGCCGGGAAGATGAAAATGATGGCGACGCCGGGATGAAGGGGATGATTTCTAGGGTTCCCAATTTTCGAATGGAGAGGGAAACGGGAATGAATTGGGACGGTGAACAGAGTGTTTGCGTTTTTCTCTTTTTTTTGCCTTAAATATTTTCCATCTGCCACGTCATTCGGTTCACTTTCTGTAGGTTCAATTCTGTTCGTGTAGCGGGGTCGAATTTTAAAATGTTTATGTTGAATTGTAGTTAAGGGCATTGTGGATCTGGTATGAATATTAGTTTGCTGTCCAATTAAATATGAGCAGTCGGTTGAAAGTGTATGAAAATGGAAATATACGGAAAATGGCAAGGAGAAACAACTCATATTCTTGTTTCGGAAACAATTTCTTATGTGGAATTGCATGATAAAGTCAAAGAGGTGTTGGAGGTCGATGGAAATCCATATGAAATGGAGATGTTATCTCTAGTCCCTATAATGCGTAAGGCTCCAGCAGCATCTATCCTCATTGATTGCGACAACAATGTGAAATGGTTTGTATTAGATAGAAAAACTTTTCTTTGCGTAATCATTTCGAATGAAGTTATTGAAAATCACGAAAAATTTGGTGACGATGATGTTTATTGCCAAGTGGGGGTGAAAAACAGTTGAGACATATGAACAACGAGGAGGAACATGTTCAAATGGACGACGATGGTAACCATGCCAATGTTCATTCCACTTGCATAGTTCAAGCAGCGGTTGTGAAACTTAAGATTGTAATATTGTTGTGACTTGTAGCTTATTATTTTGTACTAAATAAAATGACCTTTTTATCACTATGTTGCTTTTTCATGATGTTATTGCTTTTGTACTATTGGAACGACACTAAAATCATTTTACGTTGCTGTTTTGAATTTTTTCCACATTACAAACCAACAACTTTTATATCGTATTAAGTTTCTAGAACAATGTAAATGTCATTATATTTGATATTGTTGTCGCTCCAGTACAAAAATTGTAATGCTTCAAATAATGACATGGAAATTGTTCTTGAAATACAACAATATTGATGTCATTCCCAATAAGGAAATCGGAATTTTTCATATAGCTACATTGAAATCATTCCTAAGATAAAAAATGATATGTATGTCATTGGTACGAAAACATTACTGATATACTAATTCACATAATGATATTGAAGTCGTTACAACAAACCTAGTGCAAGATGCACGCGGTTGTCGGCATGTGCTTTTGCTCTTGAGTTCTAAAATAGTTTAGGTCGCTCGCGCGTTGGCCATTCAATAATTTGTGGGATGGACATCGTATATATCACTTTAACATAATGATATTGAGGTAGGTCAGACAGAATTACAATATTGAACAAGTTATAATACAAGAAATTGTTTCAATACAAATTTGTCATCATTGAAATCACTTTAGATGGAAACATAACTACGATAACATTGATATCATTTTCTTTTCATACGTTCTGTATCAAAAACACAAAATAACATAACCACGCCAATATAATTTCAGTACAAATTTGTCGTCTTTGAAGTCATTTAAGTGTGAAACATAACTAAAATGATTTTGATGTCATTTTTCTTGATATGTAACAACAATTATCTATGAAAAAAGATGACATCAAAATCATTTTAGTTATGTTTCGCACTGAAACGACTTCAAAGACCGAAAAATTTGTACTGAAATAATATTAACATCGTTATATTATTTTAAATGTTTGATACCAAACTTATACAAGAAGCCAAGCCATTGAAAGTTTGGGACATTGCATCAGGGAAACATTTCACTAGTACTAGAAAAATAATGGACCGAGCAAAGATACAACCAGGCTGTCTTGATCTTGTTGATTCAATTGACAATCAGAAGACAGAAGACGTGATAAGAATATTTATGATGAAACAATTTGTTGGTGCCTAAACTGAGAAACAGCATCCTGAGTAAATGGCAGCAGTTGGGTACTTGAACATCTCTTTTGTGTTTTAAAGATTCCCTCATCATCTTCTTTCATGTGTGGAATACTATGGTCTTAATCTGTGTGTTTAGGAGTATGTATCTGACTCTAGTATTCCTTGTGCTGGTGGTTGACATGCTGAAATTCCTTCTTAGATGTGTGTCTATACCAATCTACAGCCATATGAAAACTCTACAAGGTGATTTGGTAGGTTCGACTCTGCATTAACGTAGAAAAAGAAGTTAAAATCTTGTCAAAGCTTCCATCTGCGCAAGGATTGGCAACATGTCAGGCTAGCTGAAAGTAGTTGCTTCTATCTACATCATTTAAGGAATCAGGGTCCTAATAAATTTTTTTGAGCAAATGAAATTAAGGAGAGAGAACCTTTGATTTCATACGTATAAAGGTCTTCAAACACATCACCATACTAAAATGTAACAATATTCAGGACAACCCTTCTGATCATTGTTTAACATATTTGCCTTATTTAAGAACGAAAAAAAAAATCGTTCTCGACCGGTTACCTCAGGGACTGAATTCTGGAGAGGGTCACCAGTGAACTGTTTCACATGTTCCAACTGTTTTGTTCTGTGAATTATCTCATTTTGCTGCTTCATGTTATTCTCGTCTTCTTGCATTTTCTCCAGTGCTGCTTGCATTTCCTCCACCGCTACATAATTTTGCTTCTTATTCCAATCAGAATGCCCCATGTTCTCCCTCCCTTGGTCCCTTACCTTGAAAAACGAAGAAAAATAAAATTTAGAAATGCAAGAATAGCAAGCAAAAAAAAAAATAATAATAAAAAAATGACAACTTTTATCTTAAAATTCTCATTTTATCTTCTTTACTCGTCGGGTAGGTTCTTGATACCATTTCAATGTATTCTTGGTAAATCTTGCAGTGCATTTTTCAGATTAAAATTAAACGGCAAGTTCATGTTGTCGATAATTCGACTAACGCAATCAAAAGAACAAATAAAATAAGCAGAAAAAAATATATAAAAGTAGATGAAGCGAGATATGCCAAAGCAAATCTTCTTAAGACAGATTTCGCCCCCCAATGAAGTGCAAACGGGATTATGGACGTCTGTCTCCCAAAATACAACGCTCCTTCCAAAGTCGATACTACACAATATCAACCTTGTCGGTCGAACCAATGAAAGATCGTACTCGAACGGAATAACCACGAAAATATAAGAGATTTTTTTTTTAGAGCAGAATATGGAGATAGAAGAATTTAGAAATCAATTGAATTTGTAATTGATTTGGTGTATCAAAAACGAATTTGGGGTTCTCTATTTATAGAGATTGAAGTGTCTCATGGAATAGGTGCGTGACATTTCAGGAACTGGTGCACCACTTGGTCTGATTCGTCTTAGCCATTGGATTACACTATTTTCATGATCTGACGGCTCAGATTGAACGATGAAGTGAAGTGTCCATTCATCATGCCTATTCACCAATTTCTGAATAGTCACAGCCATGCGGATGCCACGCGTACATCTAACCGCCACGCAGGACGAAGGGACGCGACCTACCACTCGTGCGCCACCTAGAATGCCAACTCACCGAGCCTTGTGCTGCCACGTCATCGAACCACAAGTCAATTTCCGAAAACTATAAGACTCCCCAGCTCCTCGCGACGATGCGTACGTGTGCCTCTAAAGCGCCCAATGCTTACTTTGCGACGCGCGCGTGCGGGTGCCGGGATCGGGTTCGGGGAGCGGTGCTAGTGGTGACTAGCCTTTGGCTAGCTAAAGTTAGCCAAGTGGTAGGTAACTTATTAAATTATATATTATTCACACAACCCACTATATAAACAAGACTATTTTCTTGTAAACTTTCAATGTGGGACTCCTTTCCATATAAAAACACTTAAAATGGGTTTATCAACATATGAGCCTATATTGGAGACTTTTTCAATTCACCCAAATTAATTGTAATGGCCACATCATTAAATATTACATTTAATATTTTAAACCCAAATCAAATTCAATTAATTCCAACAGTTCAAACTAACAAACTAAAGATGGTTATTGAAAATGAATTTAATAATACTATTTTTAATCTTTTAATTCTAATTTTGTTGTTACATCTGTAGACATAAAAATAAAAATAAATAAGTAAATAAAATAAAATGGATTGGATCGATTTAAATCATTAGTCCAATTAAATCTTAAGTCTACTGAAGTTCTTAAAAACTCAAAAGTCCATACCACATTTTAAATAAATAAACAAACAAATAAAATTATATTTACTCAATTATCTCTTTTAATTAAATATAATTGAGTAATTATCAAAATTAGTTCGAATCCTCCTTTATAAATAAGACCAATGATCTATAAGATGGGAGACATAAAGCAAGCAAGAAAAAAAAAGACGAGAATTCCTCTAAGCGCTGAAAAAATTTCACAACTAGAGGAAGAGAAGAGTTCTTCTCAAATTTTATAAACTACTAGAGAAAGAAAACCCTAACCCCCTCCAAACCCCACGATTCAGCAATGGCGAAGAACAAAAACAAGAAGAAGAAAAATGGATTTGGTCTAATGGATATGGACGTCAAATCAGATGATCATAAGGTCATGGATATTCCTCAAGGTCTGTGCTCTTTTTTCATCTTTTTCTTTTTCTTTTTTTTTCTGCAAAAATGAAATAATCAATCAAGCAAAAATTAATCTTCTTCCTGAACTTCAAACATTTTAGCTATGGATACGTTGGAGACCGTAGCTTCCAGTGCTTTTGCCGGTGGACCGCTAAGGTCAGTGTTCCTTCATTATTTGTACTGTCGTGTTCTGAATTTTTGTTTTCGCTTAAATAATTCGTGAATTAAGGATAGAAGTTATAATTTAGTGAAAACTGAGTATATAATTATAATTTATATATGTTAATGATGTATGATAAATATGCTAAAACTTT